AAGGCTCTGGTTCAACGGGGAGATTCTTTGATTAAACCGCGCCAATCACAAAACAGAATTAGTGGTTTTAGTACAGATTCTGTACTAAAACCACTAATTCTGTTTTGTGATTGGCGCGGTTTAATCAAAGAATCTTCTCGTTGAACCAGAGCCTTCGCGACGTTTCAATTTATTATTTACTGTCGAAGGCTCTGGAATCCAGGGTAGGCCAAGGCCGGATTTTGGTGAAAATAGTGGGGGAGGTGGAAACAAATTTAGAGGAGGTGCAGCGGTCTAGCTCACTACCCCCATGGAAAGTTAGGGCTTAGAACGGGCCAAAGTCAACGACATGACGTATATATGCATGTAGTGTTGTTATATTTATCAGTGTATTAATGAATCATGACTGTACAACTGATCGAATTTTGCCCTTCATTACAATTAATAAAGTTTCTTTCAAAACATTGCGTTAAAAGGGTACTTGACACAGAGATGAATGTCTATCACTGTTTAAATTTTAGTCAGTGTAAATTTTAGTCAGTGTAAATTTTAGTCAGTCTAAAAGTGTAGTCCCTAACCAACCAAAAAATGTCAAATTTTCACTTTGATTTATCAGTGAAACCATGGATTGTAAAATAACTGGATAGGAAACTTCCTGACGTCACAGTCTAAACCTAGTTGCAATCTGTGACGTCACGTGTATTGCCAAAGTTCTCGACATTTTTGTTGTTTCGCTATATTTTCCGCTTTAAAAGAGTAATATTGAAGCATAAACTGGTCTAATTGTTTTAAAAAACATTCCCAAGCCACGACAAAGTATTCAAGGTAAATGTTTTTCGTCTTTGTTTTGTATTTTTTAACATTTGTAGCCACGAAATTGGCGTCGCCAATTTTTACGAAATTTGCGATGCATTTTTCACTGTTTAGTGCTCGAAATATTTGCTAAAATTGACCGGGAATACTTAGAGATTTCATCATAGAATGGCCTAGTTATGTTTACTTGCTCTTTGACTAAAATGTTTAGCTGTATTATCGCTAAACATGCCGTTTTTGTGAATTTGGTTTGCAACTAGGTTGCAACGCCATCATCCCATTGAAAACATTAGGTCACGTCAGCTAGTGTCTTATCCATGTATTTTATTATCTATGGTGAAACTTTCCCAAGGGGAGGTGCATCACTTTTCAGGGGAGGTGGAAAACGATCTCAGGGGAGGTGCGCATCTCCCACACCTCCCTTGAAAATCCGGCCATGCTGTAGCCTTTGTTGAAGTGTTTAAATAGTCTTTTCCACAGACACGCAAGTTTTCCTTGACAAGTTTTCTTGACATATTTTTCTTGACAATTTTTCCTTGAAACGTTTTCCTTGACACGTTTCACACCTATATAGGAAGAGGGAAAAAAGGCAAAAAAAGAGGAAATGGACGAAGCTATAGGGAAGAATAAAAGACGGATGTTGGGAAATATCAAGTTTATCGGAGAATTATTTAAACTAAAGGTAAGTTGGTTCAAATATATGGCCACTTTTGGTTTCAGAAATGTTTCGGGTTTTTCCACAAATTTATTTGAATCAATAATGCATAATGAATAGCTATATATGTTGAATTTATATCGATACATTTATATCGATACATAATTAATAATACTTAATTGTATTAGATACGACACTGGAGCGACAGAAGAATGGCAGTGATTCAAACGGCCCACCAAATACAATGTTATTGACAAGATTGTGGCGCATTAAATTTGCTAGCGAAACCAAATAAAATTAAAAACAAATAAGTTTATTTTTAAACTAGAAGTTACTATCGCAAGGGAAGTGCTGCCTTACGACCCAAAGTCTTGGGGATTGATTATACCAAAAAACTTCATTTATTTAAATTTCCTTATACAGTATATACACTGTATGTATGAATTTATTTTATTTAATAGTGCAGTAATTATTATATACTGTAAACTGTGCTTCAGATTTTCATATTTACACATGTTATTGTTGGTACCAATGTTTTAAACTGTCTTCACTTGTCAAAACGTCTAGAACAACACAATTAGGAAGAACAAACATATATGTCTTTTAACATGATATGATTAGTTTGTTGCAAGTTTTCACATT